ATGGCACCTAACAACAACCACAACAACAACTAACTACAATGTTGGCAGTTCAAACCCACCAGTCAGTCCTTGGAAACCATACTGGAGAGCACTTAACAACTTAACAACAATATGAAGACTTGATATATATCATGGTAGAGAAAAGATAACCATTCTATGTACCTTATAGACCAATTGTGGACACAAACTTTAAATAAATATATATACAAATTGATACGTAATTATGCATTGTGATGAGTGAAATGGAAAAATAATATGCTGAGGGAAAGACACAATTAACTTAGATTGAATGAGGTGGGTCAGGAACGGCCTCTTATAAGCCCAGACCTAAGGAGCTCTGATAATGTAGTGGTTACGAATCGGGCTGTGAACAGCAGTTCGAAACTACCAGCTGTTCCGCGGGAGAAAGATGAGGCTTTCTGTTCCCGTAAAGATTTACAGCTTCGGAAACCCAGTTCAGGGTCACTATGGGTCGGAACCGACTCGACGGCACTTATCAACAACAACAATATATAATTAGGACTGAATGATGCAGGATGACTTAGATATGCATGTGTGTGAGTTTAGAGTGGTGTTACTTGTAGAGGGTGATCAGTGTTCCATGTACAGTTATTTGCTAAAATAATGCTAATTGCTGTACTAATAAACTAAAAAAATCATTGCCTTAGAGCTGATTTTGACTCTTGTTAAGTGTCACTGAGTGAGTTCTGACTCATAGGTGACCCTGTATGGGGTTTCCAAGGAGCATCTGGTAAGTTTGAACCACCAACTTTGTGATTAAAAAAAGAGAAAAACAAAACAGCTCATTCCCATCGAGTTCTCTGACTCATGTTGTTGTGAAGTGCCATCGAGTCGGTTCCGACCCATAGCGACCCTGTGTAGGGTTTCCGAGGAGCAGCTGGTAAGCTTGAACCACCGACCTTGCAGTTCAAATAGCTTTGCAGTCTGGCGCATTAACCCACAGCACCACGCCAGGACTCCTAGCAACCCTATGTAGGATTTCTGAGAGTAGATTTTTATGGGGCCAGACAGCCTCACCTTTCTTCTGCAGAATGACTGAAGGGTTTGAACTGCCAAACTTGTGCTTAGCAGCCCAATGCCTAACCCATAGCATTACCATAGACTCTCAAATGTATAATGGCCTAAACACAATAGAAATATATTTTTTAGACAAAAGACAGAAAGATGGGATGGCTTTTGCCACATAGTCATCTCAGGACTTAGACTGATAGACACTCTGCTATCTTCTACATTTGGCCACCAAAATTAAATTTGGGGTCACAGTCATTCCTGTCAGTGGGAAATGGGACAGATCAAGGAGGAACACATAGGGGATGTTTTTATGGGATAAACCTGTAAATGGTGCACATCACATCTTTTCATATTATATTGGCTAGAATTCTGTCTTCTGGTTACAGTAACTACAAGAGTATCTGAGAAATGTAGTCTCTCAGTGTACCCAGATAGCTGATGAAAATAGGGACTTTAATGAGGAACTAATGATCTCTGCCAGATAGAAGTAAGGAGCTCTGGTAGCATAGTGGTTACGAATTGGGCTGCAAACTGCAAGGTCAGCAGTTTGAAACTACCAGCTGTTGCGCGGGTGAAAGATGAGGCCTTTTGCTCCCGTAAAGATTACAACCCAGACACCCTGTACAGGGTCGCTATGAGTCGGAACTGACTCCACGGCACATGACCACCAACCAATGATCTCTGCCAGATAGAAGCAATACCAAGTACAAAGATAATTGTGGTAGGAAAGAAAATTAGTTGTTGGAAGACTGAAATAAGGACTGAGTATCAGGAGAAGAAAGATGTGAGAGATTGGAAGTAAAATTCAGGGGATGGCTGTTGTTGCTGTTAAGTGCTTCAAGTTGGTTTTGAGTCATTGCCACACTGTATAGGGTTTCCAAGGAGCTGCTTGTGGATTTGAAAAGTCAACCTTGTGGTTAGCAAACCAGTGCTTATTCTACAGCACCACACTACGGCAGCTAGAGACAAAATTATTCAGGACCTTAAATACAAGAACTGAGCATTTAGGATTCTAGTTTAGAATCACTGAATGCTCTTTAAGATGGGAGCACGCATGCTTATTGATGTTTTAAAGATCATTCTGGCTGATCATGTAGAAACAACATTAGTTAGGATCTAAAAGAGAAATGACTTTCAGGTTATGGCAGTAGAAGTAAGAAGTAATTAGGCTTGTGATATATTTCAGAGGAAAGTTGACATGGTGATGAAAGATTGAATGTGGGCGAAAAGGGAAAGGCAGTGGTCAATGATGACATATTTCTAGCTTGAGTAACTGGGTGCATATCATGTGGAATATTGGAAAAGTAGTTGAGAAAATGTGGGAAGAAAAAAAAATTCAATATAAGAAATGTTAAATTTGAAATGCCTATGCTGTGTGGCAAGGAGCTCTGGTAGCATAGTGGTTACGAATGGAGCTGCTAATCTCATGGTCAAACTACCAGCTGCCGCGCGCCAGTAAAATGAGGCTTTCTGCTCCGGTAAAGATTTACAGCCCGGAAACCATGTACGACTCCACGGCACATAACAACAATATGCTGTGTGGCACTGTAGGATAAGCACAGGACTGCAAGGTCAGCTTGAACCACAAGGTCGGAAGTTCAAATTCACTCTTCGCTCCTTGGAAACCCTATGCTGGGTCTCTGTGAGTCAGAACTGACTCCATGGCATTTAACAACAACAACAATGCTTGTGTTGAGTGCATGGTTTGATATTCGATATCTAAGGAGCTCTGATAGCGTAGTGGTTATGAATCAGGCTGCTAATCTCACGGGCAGCAATTCAGGACTACCAACTGTTCCATGGGAGAAAGATGAGGCTTTCTGCTCCCCGTAAAGATTTACAGCCTCAGAAACCCTGTAGCATAGTGGTTACGAATCGGGCTGCTAATCTCACAAACTACCAGCTGCTCCACAGGAGAAAAATGAGGCTTTCTGCTTCCATAAAGATTTACAGCCTCGGAAACCCTGTACAGGGTCACTATGAGTCAGAACTGACTCCACGGCACATTACAACAACAACAAAGCTCAAAAAAAAAAAAAAAAAATCTCCAAACCCCCCTCCTGGGATTAGAAATAGAGATTTAGATATAACGCATATAGATAGGTTGGCCATAAAATTTAGCCATCCAAATTAGGGCATTTTTGGAAATGAAAAGGACATAACTCTTTTGTAAGGACAAGTGTAATCTGGAGCTGTCTGGGGAAAACCTAGGAGTAGGATCGTTTATATAGGTATTACTTGTATATTTGTTGTTGTTAAGTGCCGTCGAGTCAGTTCCGACCCATAGCGACCCTGTATAGTGTTTCCGAGGAGCAGCTGGTGAGCTTGAACTGCCGACCTTGCAGTTCAAACGGCTTTCCAGTATGGGGCATTAACCCACAGCGCCACACCAGGACTTCCTTACTTATATATAAACACAAAAAATAGATAAAGACACAAAAATAGATAAAATTTGATAGGAGGAACCCATAAAGTGAGAAGAGAAATAGGATAAGAATGGAACCCTTTAGAACTTCAAAGTTTTATTCCTTAAGGGTAAGTCAAAAACCATTGCTACTAGGGTTCCAGTGGATGTATGGATGGGTTTATTCTGAACAAAACGTGTCTAAACATGTGAAAAAACATGAAGGCAGCGTCTGCCTCCTCTGACTTCACTAGGGGAAATGAGAATCAAACTCACCAGTCTAGGGCCGATTCTTAGGAGGCTGGGCTCAGACATGCCTCTACACTTCATCCTTCCTTTCCTATTCTGACACAACCATTCTTCCTACAACACTCTCTACTTCTCAGCTGGGTTTCATAAGTCATTGCAATGGCCACACAGAACTCACAGACCATACTACCAATTATGCAGT